TTAACTTGTGTTCCCTCATTTGATCCTCTGATAAGTTCGATTAAGTTTGATCCTCTGATCAAACTTAAGTTGGGTTCTCAACATCATAGTTTAACTTCTGAAACTAGTTTAACTTCTGAAACTCCAGGCAGTTCTCATTGATCCAAAATTTGGTTGAGGCTCAATGTGGCCAAACACTTCTTAAGTTAATTTTATAATCTCTAAGAATATATATTCCTCCATTGTATAAAAGGCCATAGGACAGAGACTTTTATTTAGTGTTTTATTAATTGTAGTGTCATGCAGATTGCAATCATAGCAATTTGCTGTATGAAAAATGTCTTCAAGAAATGAGATTGCTACTCTTGCATTTCCATTAGTTGGGCATTTGTTTGGTTTGCATCCCAGCAAAAATAAGGGATATGGTTGCTCCAGTCATGTTTCTTTGGTTTATGATCCATTTATGACCAATAACCTGTGTTTAACTAACAGCAGCTATCTCTATCTGACTGTGTATGGAATCAAACTAATTCACTGATTCCTAATGGACGGTACTTCCAGTCTAGGATTCAACACCATGAGACTTCTATGTTTTGTTGTTGTTCTTGGTTTAAAGAATCTCAAGTCAAACCTGTTTTAATATTGTGACTTGGTTCAAAGTTTCCTTTCTGCATATTTTCATAGCCTTGGTTACCACTAACTTTTTGGTAAAACAATATGCAAGCCCCTGCCTTATATATGTGTGTGTGTGTGTGTGTGTGTGTATATATATATATATATAAAGCTTGCCCAAATGTGTTTGCAATTCTGTAAGGCCTGTCCTTGATCTGGTCTTATCATGTCATGGGAATGCAATCTATTGATAACAAATCTATTTTATAAAGGCATAAGCTAACTTTTAAGCATTCTTGTTTGAAATGGCTCCTCTACTAGCAATCAATGCTGCCTGGTGACAAATGTCTGACAGTTAAATATTAATGCCCCACATAAATATAATTAAAAAAAAACAAGCTGAAGTTAAATAATACATTTTATGTGGCTAAAAAAAGGTGTATTGATGATTCACCAATTGAAGCACTATACAAAAACCCCTCCCATTCTCAGAAGAGCCAGTGAGCGGGAGAGCAGCATTGCTGGGTTAATTGTAGTTTTACTCATATCTTTCCACCATTTAGTAATTGGGCAACTTTTAAAAAAATTCTTTCACAAAAGCTTTGGGAAGCCTAGCTTTATTGACTATAAATATGGTACTTTACATTTCCTAATAGCTTCGTAGCCAGTATTTCACAATACGCTATGTGGTCATTCAGTTTTTCACATTTTTGAAAGTGAGAAAACTGACATAGAGGTTAGATGACTACTTTTAGTTCATTGAGAATCCCTAATCTTATGTGGCAACTTAGGCATCTTTAAAAAAATTCACGTGCAAATGTCAGAATATAACTATTCATTTGACCTTCATGAAGCTGATCACATACAAAAGCAAACGTTTTCATTTCTCTGGCAATCTTGGCATCTTTAACATAGCTTAATTGTTTACAGCCTTTAGTGATCAAATTAAATTGGTGTTCTTTGAGTATCTTTTACTTATGTGGTGAATTTTCATTTATCCTTTAAATGTCTTTTTTGACTCCCTTCCCTCTTCAAAGCTTTGTCTATTCTCTCTTTGTCAGTTGACTGTGTTTTCTCAGTGTCCATCTCTGTACCTAGTCAGCTGCCCTGATAGGCTGAGTAAGCTGAAGGCAGATACTGTCTCTCATTCATCCTGGCCCAGTGTCCAGCACAAACTAAGCACTCAATAAATTTAGTTTATTGAACTAACTAGCTAGCTACCTGACTAAAGAAATGAATATTCAGATGGTGTGAGGAATAAAGGATAATTTGGTGACTTCTAACAATGAACACTGAGCAGTTGCCCGAGTGGGAGTGCAGTGGCACGATCTTGGTTCACTGCAAACTCTGCCTCCTGGGTTCAAGCGATTCTCCTGCCTCAGCCTCCCAAGTAGCTGGAATTACAGGCGCGTGCCACTATTCCCTGCTATTTTTTTTTTTTTTTTTTTTTTTTTTTTTGAGATGGAGTTTCGCT